ACGCTACAAGGATTTCTACAGTCAGCAACAGCAGCAGCAGCAGCAGCAGCAGCAGCAGCAGCACTGGTCTGGCGCTTACTCAAGGCAGCCATTGCCCGAGCAACAGCAGCAGCAACTTGACGTCTCTGCTGCCGCCAAGCAGCGCAGCAGCGCGCTCTTGCGGCAGCTTTGCAGCTGCTGCAGCACGCCGAAGCAGCAACAGCAGCCCCAGCAGCAGCAGCGGCGACAACAGCACTGCTGCTGCGGCAGCAGCTACTGCAGCAGCAGCAACGAGAAGCAGCACAGCAGCAGCAAGAACTATAGCAGCATCTCGGGAGCTTCTAGCCCGCGTGGGCCTTGTGCTGGGCGCCAGCGGCCTAGCAGCAGCAGCAAGCCCAGCTCCAAGTACTACTACTACTGCTGCTGCTGCTGCTGGTGCTGCTGCTGAGCCTGCTTTTGCTAGTTCCCGGCCTGCCTGGCTGCAGGCTCCAACGGTTGCTGCGCCTGCTGCTGCGCCTGTTGCTGCACCTGCTGCTGCTTCCGCTGCTGCACCTGCTGCTGCTTCTTCTGCTGTTGCTGGGCTTCAGAGCTCCACTTTTGCAGGATATTCCTCTGCAGCGCCCCTGCTGCGCAGCAGTCAGCAGCAGCAGCAACAGCAGCAGCTGCTGCGGCATGCGCATAGGCCGTCTGCTGCTTCTGAGGTTCTCGCATGGTCGTGGTCAGATGAGGGGGCTGAGGCAGCAGCGCAGCTTCTGCTGCTGCCGCCGCAGCAGCAGCAGCAGGAGCAGCAGCCTGTGCAGCAGCAGCAACTCGGGTATGCGGCTTATTCCTCTGGGAAAGCGCTAGGCAGCAGCAGCGGCAGCAGCAGCGGCAGCAGCAGCGGCAGCAGCAGCAGCAGTGAAGACGCAGCAGATTCAACTGGAAGCTTCTCTCCCTACGGATCTTCTGTGCCGCAGGAGCGGCCTTTGCTGCAGCCCCCCAGAGCAGCAACAACAAGCCCATCTGTTGCTCCTGCTGCTATGTCGCCTGACAGCAGCAGCAGCAACAGCAGCAGCAAGCCGCGGGCGCTGACAGAGAGTGCGTTTGCTGCTGCTGCTGTAGGCGTTGGGAGCCGCTGCACAACTGCAGGTGAGCGAGACTTGCACAACTTTAAAGTTCTTTGCTGCTGCTGCGTTGCTGCTGCTGTTTTGCTGCTGCTGCGTTGCTGCTGGTTTGCTGCTGCTAATTGCTGCGCCATTTTGCTGCTAACTGCTGCAGGAGGCACGGCGGAGTCTGTGACGCCATCTCCAGCTTCAAGTGCTCACGCTTGGCAGCAGCCGCTGCAGCAGCAGCAGCAGACGCTGCAGCAGCAGCAACAGACGTCGCAGCAGCATCACCAGCCGCTGCAGCAGCAGCAGCCGCTGCAGCAGCAGCAGCAGACACTGCAGCAGCTGCAACAGGAGCCGCTGCAGCAACCGCAACAGCAACAGCTACAGCAGCTGCAACAGCAGCCGCTGCAACAACAGGAGTCGTTGCAGCAACAGCTGCTGCTGCAGCAACAGCAGCTGCTGCTGCAGCAACAGCAGGAAGGTTTCGAAAAGCAAAGCCACTACGACAGCCTCGCACGAGGGGCTCCCCGTTGGCTTCACGAGGCAGAAGCAGGCCACTTTCAGCAGCAGCAGCATGATTTGCAGCAGCATGGACTGCAGCAGCAGCAGCAAGAGCAGCAGCAGAACAGTGGAAGTCCTTCTGCATCATCTTTGGCTTCTTCTGAGGTTGAGGCTGTGGCAGGAGCTCTTGAGGGCCGCCCTGATGCTGCTCCGGGTCTGGTCGCTTTGGAGTATCAGCAGCAGCAGCAGCAGCAGCTTCACCTGCAGCAGGAGCAGCAGCAGCTGCTGCTGCTGTCTCCCACGAGGCTGCATCGGCCCTACCCCACCTTGCTAGATCGGCCTCAGGCCCTGCATGTGCGCAGCAGCAGCGACCGCGGCAGCAGCAGCTCGTTGCTGTCGCTCCCTAGTGTGTCTGCTGCTGCTGCTGCTGCAGAAGATTACCAACAGCCCCCTGCTGTAGCATGCAGCAGCAGCAGCAGCAGCAGGTGGCTGCAGCAAGCAGCTCCACCTCTAGCTCAGACTGCAGATTTCGGGCACCTCTATGAGGACTCATCGCATGCGTCCTCCCCTGCTTCCTCTGCAGCAGCAGCAGCAGCAGAAGCAGCAGCAGCAGCTGCAGCAGGCGGAGGCCAGCTGGCGCTTCTGGCGTCGCCAGCTCCCTCCTTTGGCAGCAGCGGGAAGGCGTTTCTGCCTGCTTCTCCTGCTGCTGCTGCTGCTGCATCAGAAGAAGCCAGTTCACCGTGGCCGCAGCTGCCGCTGCAGCAGCAGCAGCAGCAGGTGCAGGTCTTGCAGCTGCTGCAGCAGCAGCACGTAGCGGAGATTCGCAGCAGCCGAGAGAGACTCAGAGACAGCCTGTGGCCTTCGCTGCAGCGGCTGGACCGGCTGCTGCATGCAGCAGAGCTGCAGCCGCTGCAGCTGTGGCGCGCAGCAAGCCGCTGCCACCCGCCGCTGCCGGAAGCAGCAGCAGCAGCAGCAGAGCTGCAGCAGCAGCAGCAAGATAGGTTCGTGCTGGAAATTGAAACTACTGAGGTGTACGTACAGCATGTCGTAGAGTGCTGCTCCCAGGCCGTGTCTCAGGCCCTGCAGGCGCACCAGGCCCGGGGGCAGCTGCTGCTGCAGGTGCAGCAGCTGCAGCAGCAGCAGCAAGCTGCAGCAGCTAAGCACAATGAGACGCTCTCTCGCCTCCGCAAGCAAAACGACGCTCTTGCCGCTGAGGTGCGTTTGTGCTGCTGCTGCTGCTGCTGCTGCTGCTGCTGCACCTGTCCTGCATGCAGCTGCAGTGTACGTACATCCCCAGTGCTGCTGCTGCTGCTTTCCTTCAGGCGGATGCTGCTCGTGCTGCAGCAGCAGACCTGCAACACCGGGTCGCTGCTGCTGCAGCACTGCAGCAACAGCTGTTGACAGCAAAACATAAAAACGAGGAGCTGCAGCAGCAGCTGCAGGAGGCAAAGAAGAAGGCTCAGCTGCAGCGGGAAATGCTCAACGACAGGGACAACCAGCTGCGATTGGTGAGTCCCTCCAGCAGCAGCAGCAACAGCAGCAACAGCAGCAACAGCGAGAGCAGTGGGGAGCTTAGTAAACCGGCAATAGCAGCTGCAGGAGCTGCAGCAGCGGCATGTTGCCCTGGGACTCTGTGACAGCAGCAGCAGCAGCAGCAGCAGCTGTTGCTGCTGCTGGCCTTATTAGTGTTTTCTGTATGGTATTCAAGTGCAGCAGCAGCAGCCAGTGAGTCTGATATGCAGAAACTGGCGTTGTGCATTGCGCCGCAGCTGGAGCAGCGGGAAGCAGCAGCAGCGCGGCAGCAGCAGCAGCAGCAGCAGAGAGCTGCCAAGGCGCTGCAGTCGGGATTGCTCTCTCGGCGATCTCCTGCTGGCAGCAACCAGCAGCAGCAGCAGCTGCAGAAGAGGGAGACTCTGGAAATCGTTAGGCAGTATGAGGCCAAGGTAGGTAATGCGGCTTCCGGTGCTGCTGCTGCTGCTGCTGCTGCTGTTGAGCAGGGCATGAGTAGTGAGCTCTCTGTTTCAGATCACTATTGTGCAGCAGTGCATGCCTGGTGCTGCTACTGCTGCTGCTGCAGGTGGAGGCGCAGCAGCGGGAAATCCAGGGACTTGCTGCAGCGCTGAAGGTGGCGCAGCAACAGCTTCAGCAGCAGGGTGGCAGCGTTGCAGCAGATGCATCTGCAGCCGCTGCAGCAGCAGCAGCGACGGCAATAGCAGCAGCGACAGCAGAAGCGGAGGAGGAGAAGGTTGCTGCTGCTGAGCTGCGTCAGAGAGAGCAGCAGCTGCAGCAGCAGGTAGAGCAGCTGCAGCAGCAGGTGGATCAACTGCAGCAGCAGCTGCGGCAGCAGCACAAACAGCAGCAACAGCAGCACAAACAGCAACAGGAGCAGCATGACATACAGGTAGCAGCTCTTCGATCGGAGGCGGCAATGCTTAGTGAAGCTCTTGAGAAAGAAAAACGGGACAGAACGAAGGTCTGCTGCTGCTGCTGCTGCTGTTGCTGCTGCCGTACTAGCCGTTGCTTTCGCTACTTCTAAGTGCGTTGGTGTTTTGCTGCTGCTGCATTTCGCTGTTGCTGCCGCCGCATGTCTGCGGCTTTGCTTCAACTGCGGTTGCTGCCTGTTGCTCTTGCTGCTGCTGCTGCTGCAGCTGGAAGTTGCTGCTGCAGTGCAGAAGCAAACGGACGAGAAGGCAGTAGCGGATCTGCGAGCAACAAAAGAGGAGGTGGGCCGAGCTGGAGTTGCTGCTTTTGCGTCACCTGCTGCTGCTGCATGGATTGTTGCTGCTGCTGCCGCTGCAGCAGCAGCTGTGCTGGCTTCTGCAGTAACTGCTGCTGCTGTTGCTGGTGCTGCTGCTGCGATGGCTGCTTAGTTGGAGGCGGAAGTGGCGAAGCTTCGCTTGAGGCCTTCTACAGAAGAAGTCACGGCCCTGCACGAACAGCTGCGGGAGCTACAGGTGTGCTGCTGCTGCTGCCGTTGCTGCTGCTGCTGCTGCTCTCCTATTTGCGTGCTGTGCTACGGATGTACCTGTTGCAGTTGCCTTTGCTGCCTGGACTATCGCTGCCGGAGCGTTGCTGTTGCTTGCTGCTTCACTGTTGCTGCTGCTGCTGCTGCTGCAGGAGCAGCTGAACCCTCTAAAGGACTCAGACGGCTGCGGCGATCCGCGGCTGTTAATGCGCTGCGACAAGGCGCTGCAGAGCATGCAGCGAGAAACGCTGCAGCAGCTTGTCAAGGTTTGCTGCTGCTGCTGCTGCTGCTGCTGCTGCTGTTGCAGCCGCCGCAGCTAGCCTGTCCGCGGGGTTCTTGCTGCTGGGGGCGCTATTTGCTGCAGGTTTGGGGCTCAGGGTTTAGGTTAAGGGTTTAGGGTTTAGGGTTTCGGGACTCTGCTGCACAGCAGCTAGCGACCCTGTGTGGGGTATATGTACACCTCAGAGCTGCTGCGTGGCCTTCCGCTGCCTGCCCTCAAATCTGCCGGGCGTGGCTTTGCTGCAGCACCAGGGGCCTGCGCTGCAGCAGCAGCTGCTGCAGGTGCGTCAGCCAGCAGCAGCAGCAGCAGCAGCAGCAGCAAAAGTGGGGGCTGTGAATGAAACAGGGGCGATAGCGTGAGCGACAGCACGGGAGAGAACGGTTTGCTGCGCGTCTGTCATTGCTGCTGCTGTTGCTGCTGCTGTTGCTGCTGCTGCTGCTGCAGGTGCTGCTGGCTCTTGTTCTTGAGTCAGTGCCCCCCTCCGACGCGGAACTGGTGAAGGTTTTAAGGCGGCGGCTGAAGCAGCAGGGGGTGCGCGGTGTTGGTACAGCTGGCTGCAGCAGCAGCCTGCAGCAACAGAAGCTGCTGTTCATTGCCAGGGCTCTGTGTCGGCTCAAGTGCCAAGCAAAGGCCGTACGACCTGCTGCTGCTGCTGCTGCCTCTGCTTGCTGCTGCTGCTGCTGCTTCGTGGGTTGCTTCGGTGCTGCAGCTGCCGCTGCTGCTGAATTCGCTGCGTGGAACCATTTGCTTCTGCTGCTGCCTCGGCGTTCCTGCTGCTGCACTGTCTGCTGCTCTTGCTGCGGTGTGTGTACAGCTGCGCAACTACTCCGAGCTGCAGCAACTGGTGCAGGAGCTGGCGGGCACCCCAGGGTCTTGCCGTGTGTCAGTAGAAGAGCAACTGCAGCAGCAGCAGCAGCAGCAGCAGCAGCAGGTTGTTGCTTTGCTCGAGGAGGGCTGCAACATGCAGCAGCAGCAGCTGGAGCCCCTCGACCTGCTCCAGCAGCACGAGCCCACAGAGGAGTTCTTCTCCCGCCTGGTGCGCCTGCAGCAGCAGCACGAGGGGCAGCAGCGGGACATGCTAGCAGCAGCAGCCGCAGCCGACGCTCGGGCGGTGTCATGCGTGCGGCAGCTGCTGCAGCAGCAGCAGCAGCTGCAGCAGCAGCAGCAGCAGCTGACGGCGGAGCAGCAGCAGCAGCAACAGTTCCTCTCCGACCTCCGCAGCCGCCTCGGGTTCAAAACCCTAGATGAGTGTATCGCAGGTGTACAGACAGCTGTTCGCCACCACCGACCCCTCGACACTCTCTTCAGATCTGTCTGCGACCTTCTCGGCGTTCCCCGCAGCACAGCTACTTGCTCTCAGGTGCAGCACCAGCAGCATCAGCAGCAGCAGCGGTAGCAGCAGCAGCAGCAGCACTAGCGGCAGCAGCATTAGCAGCATGCAGCGGCAACAGCATGTAGCGGCAGCAGCAGTAGCAGCAGCATAAGCAGCAGGGGCAGCATTAGCAGCGGCAGCAGCAGCAGTAGCATCAGCAGCAGCAAAACGTAGAGTTAGCAGCAATGACAGAGACGCAGTAGTAGCAGTAGTCGCAGCAGCAGCAACAGCAGCAATGCACCAGCGCAGGCAGTGCTAGCAGAGACTGCAGGGAAGCTGCACTGCAGGACTAGCTAGTGAAATCGGCAGCAACAAGAGCAGCAGCAAATAGCAACAACAGCAGCAGCAGGCAAACTACAGAGGCCAGGAGCAGAACTAGAGAAGCAGCAGCAGAACTAGAGAAGCAGCAGCAGCAGTGGCCGCGTGCTGCAAGGAGCCTGCAACATGCCAAATGCGCTGTAATCACTAAGTTAGGGCCGTCGGTTTACAAGTTGCTGGTGCTGCTGCTGTTGCTGCTGCCGCAGGTGGAAAGAGAAGTGATGCGGCTGCTGGAGAACAACAAGCAGCACGCCGAAATGCTGCAGCAGCAGCAGCGTCTCATCGTGCAGCAACAAGCGATAATATTAAGCAGCAACACGCTTGTTGCCCCCGCTGCAGTTGCTGCAGCAAATGCTCAGCTGGCAGCAGCAGACGCTGCTGCTGCCGCTCAGGCGCAGGCGCAGCTTCCGGCAGCAGCACCACAACAGCAGCTGCAGCAGCAGCCACAACAGGCTGCAGCAGGAGCTGCAGCAGCAACAGGTGAAGAGCAAATCTCTGCTGCGTCTAAAGAGACAGTTGCACGCGTTTTAGGCGAGCTGCTGCAGTCAGCCATTCATGGCCGGCCTGCCGTGAATGCAGCAGCATAGCGCGGCAGCAGCTGCTGTTGCCACTGTTGCTATAGTTG